GCTTAGACATTTGTAATACATGCATATATGTTACTTATATGTACACCTATATATGTGTTTATATCTATATATAAAAGTATAAATATATATACCTATATTATATACTGCCATATATATGTAAATATTAAAATTCTATATATAGGCATATATAAATGTAAAAATAAAAACAATTTTAAACATTTCCCAGAACTGCAGGACTCACTATTTGAAAGCTGCTTTAGCTATAGGATTTCCTTCTGGGAACTGGAAAGCTTATTATCATTTAGGTCCTTCTACCACATCCTTGCTCGGAGGTGGAGGTAAGAACTCTATTGGCATGACACTACAGGAGGTGCCTCAGGAGCAGCCCAGAGCAACACAGGTCATTTCTTGATTTGTCAAGTGCTCGTCCCCTTCTCTGCCTGCCCTCATCTTGCCTCCTCAGTGACTCTGGCCATGCATGACCCAACATCTATTTTTCCACTCTTGCATTAAACCCACAAATGAGTTCAGACATGTGAAGTCCTGCTTGCTCTGAATCTTTTGCCCATGAAAACACTCTGAAGAGAAAGCACCTCTGGTCTTGGTGATGGCAAAAGAATCTTCAAATATTTAGGTAGATATATCTTCTGAGCTGATTTGGCCCAAAATTGTACAAGGCAATTTTTTGTACATGACAAATCCCTTGGGAACCTTTCCCAGGGCTTAGGGAAGTGATGTAGATTTCCTGCCCTCTGACTGCAAAACTGGAAATCAGTATCTAGGTTTTCACCTCATGTTGTTAGGATTATGCATCTCCCAGTCAACCCTGAAACCCATGAGATATTTCACTGTTGACTAAAGTTTGTGTTTGAAAGGATAAAAAATGAAAATTTTTCACACTTCTTCCGGCACATATGACTCCAGCTATGCCATCAATAACTGCCAGAATATGAGTTTTCTCCCTTTACACAATGTTTATACGTTGTTAGTACAAAAACTGCTGGCCCCTCAGACATTGAAGATGAGAAACAAATGGAAGGGAAAATAAGAAACACAAACTTCATTTAGGCAATTGTCTCAAATATGAAGCTTTTAGTGATAAATTCTGAATAATTAGCAAAATGTTGAGAAAATGCATAAAAAAGGGCTGTACTCAGAAGAAAAATTTAGGTCCATCATGACATAAAGCTAATGGAAACTCTGTGAGTTTTATTACAAAAAATACCATCTGAAATGAAAATGAAGAATCTGAATCCGAAAAACAGATGCTTAGAGCTTCATTGTTAAAACCTCAGCAGTCCCCATAGGGTCCCAAATTCATTGAGGGTACAGCTGTGGGAAATACAGACAAATGGAGACCATGCGAAGAAGGGTGCCATCAGATCCTGCAGAGCAAAGACATCAAACAGCCAGAAAAGTTAAAGCATACTCAAGTGACGTTCTTTGACAAAGAATAAAAAAAAGGGTAGTGAAAGACTTTGCTAGATGAGAAAATTAATTGTTGTACTTAATTCCATAAAACGTTCGAGGATTCAATCTGCAGAAAAGATAAAGTGTGGACAACCCAAAGGAAACAGAGCTCTGCAAGAGGGAAAAAGACCAAAGTCCTCCGCCAAACAAACACACAAAACAAGTTTACTAACTGGGGAGAGAATAAAATCACATTGCTTTGACCTTTTCCTCACCACTCAGACACAATAGCAATAGCTGCTATATATAAACCTTAGATGCTCTTCAGCTGCACTCAACCAAGGGATATTTATTTTAACTCAGAAAGGCTAGTGGTAAAAGAAGTTGGGGGATATTTTATTTACACAGTGATAAATTAACCTATGGATCGCTTCTCTAAGGGTAGCTCTAGGAATTACTAGGATGCAGATGGATCCACATAGACTTTTTGACCTCCTTTGTTAAAGCCCCTTCCATGGTATTTGCTGTTTTTTTTCAAAGCTAAAAGGTTGGAGGACACAAAGCTTTATTCTCACATTTTGGTCTTGAGGCTAGCGAAGCTTCTTCATTTATGCCCTAGCAATGTTTGCCTCCAGTAAATCTAAAGTATGCTGGGCAGCTGTGGAGGGAGGGAGAAAACACAAAAAGGCCTTGTGACTGAAACATTTGTGTTTGTGTGCATCCTACCCTGTACAGCTGGTCTGACTCAGCTCTGAGAAGATGCTGTACAGCTGTTTCTCTGGAGCAACACCTGTGGCAAACAGCAGCAGAGTCCAGTTTCTATGTACATCTTCCTGATCTCCAGAGTTCATTTTGTCCTTACTCTGTCATGTTTAATCATGAAGCATTAGGCTTTTTCTTACTGGATATTCATGTGCATATGTTCAGAACTTACAGGGCCAATTGACTGTTGTTCCAGTTTTCCTACTGATGTTTTTCTTGCAAATCGGAGCCCAGAGACTTGCCACAAGCCCAAATCCCGTCTTTTCAAAATTGATTACTTCTTTGCTGGGTCACTGTTTACTCTACTGCAATTGTCTAAGACTGGGTTCAGCTGGTGCAAACTGACTTCATCTCTTCCATGATGCTAAGGCAGGATTTAGCCTGCATACGGTACAGCTCTGGCGAGTCAAGGCAGAGGAGATGCTCCCCCCCCTCTGGGTCAACTCTACTTCTGCCTTGGAAAAGTGGCCCCAAGTCCAGAGTGGCAGTAGCACCTTGAAGAGACTCAGAGAAGGATGCTCTAGAGACTAAACAATCTCGTTCCGGCTCTGATGAGATCATTCAGCTGGAAAGGTAGCAGAATAAAAGTAAAGCAAAACAAAACAAAATAATTCCTGTCTGAAGATGGGACCACTAGGCAGGTAAGCACTGAGATACCATGCAAATGGAAATAATTAGGCACTGGAACAGAAGAGTGGAGATATCACAGGAATTATCAAAGGAATTTTTTGAGGACAATTTAATGAATCTCCAGTGACCTGAGATTTGCTGTTCCAAAGGAAAGCAACAATCCCCAGAGAATAGATGGGGCTAACCCTAAGGTAGAGTGAGATAATGGTAAAATATTTCTCATGCTACAAGGTTCCAAAATGTGTAAGGTAATAAAATTTTAAATGGTTTGAGAATGGAAAAAAAAAAAAGCCTTATGGCAAATGAACCTTGGGAGGAAGAGCAGCAGAACCCAGTTGGGTCCATGGCAGTAGGTGACAGTGGTGAACCCTCTTCAAGCTGAAAGCCATATGGCTCAGAAATAAGTGGAAAAAAACGACCATGTCATTTAGGATCCCAGTGGGGCATGCAGCAATCTCAAGTGGCAGCTGATCTGCCACGGTTTTATCCACTGAGCTTCTCCACTGCTGAGAAGAAGCAAATCCAATGGCTGAGCAAAACCGTGCATCTTTCACACACGTGTGTGCACACATAGAGTCTACTTATATGAACCTTTAGACAAACTGTGAATTCCAAACTGTTTTATGAAGATTTCTATGAAAATAGAAGTAGGGATGAAATATCATCGGAAGGTCAGTGCTGTGTGTGAATGGGGAAGAGCGATTGGGAACTCTCTTTGGCAGGCACACCCACAGAAAGCCTCTGCCTCTCCCCATCACACGTGGCAAGGTGAGAGACAAACAGTAGAAGCTCCTGTCACCTTTCAAAAGCACCTTGTGATAGCTTTTTTAGCTAGATTATGCCGCAGTCTTTGTACTTGTAAGGATTGCTTTTCTAATGAGTCAAGAAAGGTCAAAAGAAATTAATAGCCAAGATAACTGTTATCAGCCCGATATAAATAAAGCAGCTTATAACATTTGCAATACACCATGGTCTGCAACAGATGAAGGAGTCTAAAGCCACATGAGGGTTTAAAAGGAAGGTGATATTGGGAATATCTACAGTCTAAATTCTCTTTTTAAGCAGATGACTGGGCCACAGTTGCTGTTTGTAGTTGCTGCTGCTGAAGCCAGTGTCGCCACTGAAGCTTAGAGTAAGGACATCACTCACCCAGAAGGGCTCAGCCTCTCCCATCTGATGGATCAGATGTGATCCACAAGCCTACACGTATGTCCTCATACAAGGGGACCACATTTTGATCCTGTAAGTGATACCACAGTGCCAGTAACCACTAAGAGGTACACTACAAAGATCTCCCTTGCCTGCACTGTTGCTTTCTTGTTCTGCCCACAACCCTTCTGCATCCTAACCCTGAAGAGAGCTACATCACTACCTGTTTGCCTTTCTAACTCTCCAGACACCTAGATTCCTGTTTTATGAGTGTCTCAAAACATCAAAGTGGCTCCTGCCTTATGGGATTGTGACCCTAAGATAATTTTACTAGTGCTGCCTAAATTCCCTTGGGAATCTGTTTCAGTAAGCTACAGATTCCGTGTGCAGTAAGTTACATGCCACGCACAGACACACGCCCCCCAAAATCCTCTTGAGAGGTGCCTCTGGAGCTTGGATATGAAGAAGCTGAAGGCAAGAGCCAAACCAATGTGAGGGGTGAGTTTCAGGTATGAGACTGCTCTCAGCCCTTCCTAATAATTAGATGCTATCCCAAGTAATGGGTTTTCATATTAATAATTCTCAGGATCCTAATTTACCTCCATGAATGTCAGATGTGTCTTAGGAGCTAACCTTGGTGTTCCAAGCAGGGAGCCAGACAACCAGAAAAGTAATTGCTACAGGACCCAATTTCCATCGCTTAAGTTCTTTATGGGAGCTTGGTCTTCACAAACCATGCTTTAGCAAAAGGACTTTGAAGTGATAGTGTAATTTCTACCACTTTTCAAAACGTTAGCTCTCCACTAGTCTTATGAGTTTTAAAACCATCTGGAAAAATCAGTGATGTACATATGCTAGCATAATTTTTGCTCTAATTGGTGTAACTCGCTTCCTTGGAGATATTCAATCTCTTTCACAATCACCCCTCTTTACTGATAAATATTTTTCCACAGTAAATCACCCATTCTCAGTTGCACACGCTTCCAGACTCCTCTTAGACATGTTCTACTGGCCGGACTGGGTTTTCTTATGGTATTTCAATTCTGCGCTTTAGCTTCATTAAATGTTTCCAGTGACCACATGATGACTTTTTTTTTTTAACAGATAATTTATTTGCAACAGTAGTGTGAGATACAGTAGAATGTAAGTGGGAATCAGATAATCATGTATTATTTTATAGTGTATTTTTCAGTAGATTATTCCAAATGTTACATATGGAAATTTTAAGTCCTATAACATTAGTTTTGATATCATGGTGACTAAGCATTTCAACAATAAGCAGTCTTGTGGAAAAATCCATGTACATAGTTTGCTTTACCTCATTTGTCCTAAATTACAGACTGCAGCAGTATGATTTAGATCGTGTAACTGGGTAACAAATAGTTCAGTCTATACTTGCATCTTGTCTATTTAATAAGTCATTGAGAAACTCAGATACACACAATTGATTTGAGATACAAAAAATGGGCATGGTGTTTTCATCTCTCACCTTGGAAAGAAAGGTTCACAATGCAAGTTCTCACATATTTTATTTATATTAAAAATATTGGATGGTGTATTATATCCTGAATGTGTTACACAGACTGCAGATAAAATGTTGCAGAGCACAGTAGCAAAATGTTCTGCCACCAAGCACTAGAAAGGCAGAAATTTGAAGGATGTATAGCTTTCTAAGCAGATATTGTGGCAATTATCAATAATCAGAAATAAAACACATTTTGAAAAGCTCATATGCAAATACATGTGGCAAGCCTAAACACTGCATGAGTCTTGCTCCTGCTTCCACTGAATGAATGAAAGATACATCTCCCAGATACTTCAACAGGAGAAGGGTTATGATGACAACTCAAATGCTGCAGGGTTTCTTTTTTCTTTTCTTTTTTTTTTTTTTTTTCTCCTGAGAATAGTTAGAAATCGGCTGATAAACTCCTCAGAGTTCGTGCAGCCTGAAAGGTATTTGTGTACCTCAGTATAACCACCCTTAGCTTCCATCCTTTCTTTTTTGAAACCCAGTGATTAAATATTTTGAATGTGTTTGTGAAAGTGCAAATACAGTATTAGAAACAAGTGTGCCATCATGGAGGAGTGAGAGACTCATCCATGGTTTTGTTAGGACTCCAGAATGACATGCCTGGCAGACTTCCTGTGATATCCAACCACCATCATAAACAGAAAACAATTACTGTGTCCCACTCCAACCAATAAAGACTTTACGAGGACACCAAGTTACGTTATGAAGTGCAGTTTAGAGCTGAAGGCCTTTAGAACATGGACCTCAAGCAGTGTTAAAGTACATATTTTTAGATCATATTAAGGCAAAAGTATTTCCAATCCATAACAAGTTCATGCTAGTCTATTTTTTAACCAAATGTGACTATTGTACAGTGATGATGCCACTGCAAAACCACTTAGAGAGGCACGTATCCCTGCAGGTCTAAGATAAATCGAGTCCTAAGGGATCCTGAAGAGTGATGTTCCCTTACATGAATGGTGATGTCCTGCAGTGGGGCAGAACCATCTGCGATGACAGCCATTCCTAAGGATTTATTTTAGGGTGGGTCATAAACCTCAAGTCAAATGCATCTCCTTCCAGAATTAAGTATCTTGCAGAAAGACTCAGATTTGGGAAAAAAAAACACAGGGAAGTGCATGAGAGAAGCCATCAGGCCCCAAAAAAGCTCAGGATCATTTCCAGTGCAGTCAGTGACAAACTCCTCCATGAGTCTCATTCTGTGGGAGCAGGAGCAGATCTACCACATCTTGCTTTCCTACTCATGTCCAATGCATGGCAACATCCTCTACTGTCTAGTGGCCTCTATTTTAACTTCCCTTCTTTCTCCTAATCTTTGCAGGAGCCCCAGTGTCTTATCTCCAGTACTCTCTTTGAGTGAGGAGTTCTCAGGGGTCTGGTTCTGAGTGTTTGACACACTTCATTAATATGGACTGTTTCAAGAGAAAAAAATACTTCCTAACTGAGGTGGCTGGTGCTATGCTCATGTTATGCTCACCTCAGCAGCACAAGCAGGCTGGCTGAGGAAAACATGCATCAAGCCATTTGTATAAAGGACCCTTAAGCATAAAACAAATCACAGCTTCTTATTTAAATAACACAGTACCATGCAAAATTCACAAATTAAGAGCTTCTAAGGAGTGTCTTTAAATAAAAAAATGCAAACCTTTGCTTAAATAAACACCAGTGCTATGTGTATTACTCTTCGCTTTAGCTGTTTAAGCCATGCAAAAGGTTTGATCAAAGTGTCCCTTTAACAAATAACACCATTTGCAGGGGAAAAAAAAAAAAAAAAAAAAGGAAAAAGAAAGGAAAAAAAAAAAAGCCAGAACAAATGACTAGACAAAAAAAAAATCTGCAAGTTTTGATCTTTCTCATTGAATCTACTTATCATGGCATTTACCCATCTAAATGCCACGAGCAGAGGTACGCAGGGGCCTAACCACCACACCCGTACTGCCCTTCCCCAGGAAACTTAGTCCTTGCTGCGGGAAGGAGCCCTTATCTGCGATTTGACGTTGTCCCTTGCAGGTCCCTAACCACATTTGTGCCCTTGAACTGCGAGGCCGCCGTCACTGCGGCGGGGCACAGCCAAGGACAAATATCAGCTGTTTTACTAGACTCGACAGGCAGCGGCTGCTGTGATGCTGCGACCGGACTGTGATGGGGAGCACGTCTGGCGGGAGGGCTCAGGCGCCGGGAGCGGGGCTGTCGCTGGGTCACCCCAGGAAGCCCCGTCCTGCGCCCCCGTACGCCACACGCTGTGCCCCGGGGGGTGCAGGGGAGACATCGCGCTCCAGCTGCAAACGCATGGAGAGGTCACGAACCTCATGCCCAATGCAGGGAGCTCGTGCCACACTCTAACAGAGTTTAAGACAAGAAAAGTGTGAAACTAGGAAAATGAGTACGGCAGGACATGCTGGGACTACACAGTGCTGCGAGCTGGGATAGCAGAATTGCCTTTGGATCATAGTGCACAGATCTGAGCGTAGAAGTGGTTTATTATCTCATTAGAAACATCTAACTCCCTGTAATAAAGATTGCATGTAGAGTGTGTCAAAGAGCAGACAAGGCTATTACAGCCCACGGTCAGGACTAATGCTTTTTTTTTTTTTCCCTCTTATTGCTAAATAGGCAGGAGTAGCTTTTCAATTTCAAAATAAAAACTTTACAGTTACAGTAACAATACAATGCTCCTTACTGCTCTGCAGCTGCATATTGTAAAACTCGAAGCCACTGATCAGAAACAAAAGCAGTAAGTCAGTAACAGCTTTACAGAAATGTAAAGTATGGTGTAGTATGGATGATTGTGTCTGTCAAAATACTCTGTAAGGGAAAGACTGATTATTGAACATATTTCGTGTCCTTTTCCCCCTAAAAAACTCTGCAAGTGCTTGCATCTTTTCCTAACAACAGATAAAGAAACCTTTGCCAGAGGTGTAATTAAGGCTATATGAACACTGGAACAAGCATGGATCCTGTTCAGATAGTTAGGCATCAGTTATAACAAAAAGCCAGAAGCAGTAAATTTTTTTACATCTGTTATAAAAAAAAAAAATATTTCCCAATCAGTGTTTCAATGCAGTTAAAAGTTAAAAACCCTCTACATTACTAATAAATTAAAAAAACCCTATCTCCAACCATCTTGTAAGAAAGTAGGTAAGTAATTTAAACCTTTAGTTTACATAAATTAGCACAGAAATGTGTATTTGAACAAGTGCACTGAAAACAGATATGCCTTCTTTTCTTCTGAAATCTCTTATTTGAGTTATTAAGTAACAGGAAAACCTTTATATTCTTTGCATGACCTTGAGAGTCTGCTAACACTGAATGGTCAATAGTCAAAGCCCAGGAGAATGTTTCATCAGATAGACAATGACAAGAAGGAGCATGAAGTACCGTCAAATGCTTTTCAGCCTTATTACAGTAGACCTCAACATTCAATTTCGGTGCATTTACTCTTGGGAAGGGATGAATGTAATATATTTATACAGCAAATCACATGAGTGAATTTTTGGTGGGTTGATAGAATTATTTTTTTAAACCTACTGAAGTATCATTTTTTTCAGAGGTAGTTTGCAAGGCAATAGTGGTGTACATAAGTGGAAACAATACTCCTTTGCTTGACTGTGGATAAAACTTAAATACTGTTGGTGCTGTGTTGGACCTCACAAGAGAACACTTAATGGATAAGATGTTCTAACAGGAGCTGACAACAGCCAATTAAGTGTCAGAAGAACAATCTGATAAATAGGTCTTCATGTCTATAGGCATTTCCTGATATGTCTTAACTGTCAATCTGAATGTTAAACATTTCTATCTCATTATTGACCGATTTATTAAAGGAGAATGCTTTCATCTCTTTTTTTGACTTTGGGGTTGCTCCAGAAAGAAGGAAAGGAAAATATTAGGAACGACTCTTAATCTGGAATAATAGGGGGGAATCCTAATTATAGCAAAATCCTAATCTTCCAACTGAGCAGGCGTATGGTTTGGTGACACCACTACTATGCATCTGCCCACACCATACCTTTTAAGAACTGGTAGACGCTCAGTCTAGAGGAGATCTGTTTCTTTAATAGGAGGAAGGATATCTGTGGATGTGCTAGCAGGCTGCTCTCTGCTTTCAGTGCTTCTTGCTAGTCATACAGAAGACAACACCTCGCTGGATGGATCTCTTCCCTTCTTGTCTTCACCCCTGTCGATATCAATCACATGAACTATGCCAGGCTTCAGGATCAGGTCATCGGTCTCTACATGGCTCCTGTTATCGTCCACCTCAATGTACTTCCCTTTGGATGGTTGGGTAGCCTTACTGAAGACATCTTTAAAACGGCGCTTGAGTTCAACGTCTGGGCAATAGACGTACTCATAAAGAGCACCAGCAAGGACTCCTCCTATTATTGGTCCCACCCAATATACCTGCAAAAAGAGTTGGAAGAAAACCAGTCATTAAGCTCTGGAGCAAATAGAGAATCCGGGGTCTCAGAGAAAAGCATGTCACTACAGACTTCACCCAGAAAAGTTTCTGTAAAATACCCTGGCCCACCTGCTATAACCAACTCTCCAGAAATGCATAGGCACATAAGACCCTGGATTTCATGAACCCGGATGAAATGTGCCATCATATCAATTCATGAGGCAGAGAAGTATAACTACCATAGGTTTCACAGATAGTGACCTGGAGCTCAGCAACTGACTGCTCTAAAATCACATTTGAAGTTGCTCAGAAGGCAGTCTCTTAGGCAATTAATGGCATTAGTGCTAGGTCATTTTCTTATTTTCTTTCTGCCTCCTCCCAGTCTCTCTCTCTCACGTTTCACCCCCTTAAGAAATACTCCCTACTTGCCTTGAATCCAGTCATCTAAACAACCTTGCATCCGTGGGTGCAGCTCTTCCCTAAAAACTCATCTTGTGCCAGCGTTTAGGGAATCACAAAGCAGTGGACCCCACAGATCAGAGGAGAAGAAGGACCTGTGCTGACGTGTCAGAGAGGTACAGTTACTACTTTCCTGACACCTGAAAAAGATTTCAGTCTACATGTCTGGTTACCAGTGTTCTGGGGCAGACCAGCTGAGCGGCAATGCAGCTATGGACACCTCCCATGGACAGACACACAGGCATCCTCTCTGGATGCCCTACCTTCTCCAGTTAATAGGAATCATTTTTTCCCCTCTTTATGGAGATTTAACTTACTTTTTTAAAACTTTGTCCAATAAGACAAAAGCGCAGGTTCTTCATCATCCTTATTTGGATCAACCATATGTCTAACATTTCTTGAGACAAAAAAGGCTACAGATCCTGATGGAGTCATACCAGACTTGTCAAATACAGCTCTGTAGTCACATACAACATACATCTGCTCTGGCATTGCTTTGCTTTTAAACTAGCCAGGGTAAGATGATTGAGAAGCAGGACCATATCTTCAAAGACAAATAGTTTTGTCAAGTTTTATTGATCCATCTCTTTCCAAGAAGCTTCCTCTAAATTTTCATCACTCATTGCCAGCTGTAGACAACATATATGGACAGTTTGCAAGATGACACACGAAATAAACACCAATGTAGAAAACTGATTTTCTTTCTACATTTTTACCCAAGGTGACAATGAACCTTTAGGGAAACAAAACCTTTCCTAGTGTATACACAAACAGTTCTACTTCAGTATTTCAGACTCACATTTCCAAAATAAACCAAATTTGGCTTCTGATCCCGCAGAATCCAACAGGCAGCCAGCTACCTGATTATCTAATTTGAATAAGCAAATACGACCGACATACACAACTTTGTAGTGTACCTATCTATTTCAGCATGCCATGCAGCATTTCTGTAACATTAGTAGGTGCAGAAGCCCATGGGCTTCTCTCAATGGCACACCAATGTCACTGCCCTGGAGGAGGGGAAAAGGCCGTCTTTCAGAGTGGCCAGGACAGTAGCTAAGCTTCTCCTACAAGCTGCTACACAGTACATTTATTTATTGTTTATAGCTTTAGTTATAAATTACAGGCTCCCTCAGAGTATGGATAATCCAGCTTGTGAAAAACTACAGCAGTTTTTCATATGAACAAGTCATTCACTGATAACAGGGTAAATCTGCTTCAATAGGGTAACTCTTGGGAAGAAAGTTACACATGGCATCACGTTTGCAGAACTGGAGCCTTAGGGCCTGAAGACAATGCTGCTTCTGTTATTAGATGCAGTGGGAGCAATGTGGGCTTCACACTTTAAAAACGAAGGAAGTCCTTATATGCACTGTAATATGCAGCTCTTACAGTTAGCGTTGAAAGCGTCCCTAGAAGTGCTTTCCCTAATTATGTGAGGCCGAGCTGCAATCCATCTCTCCCTTATAAAATGTGAATTGTTTTTTAATAAGTTTAATAGTGGGATGCTGTAGAAAAATGACTGCATCATTCACAACCTCTTTGTCAAATTGTTTCCTGCGCAAATACTCCTAGTTAAGCTGACGCTTTCAAACTGAGGCAGGTAACATCTGGTCCGGTCTGCAAAGACCAGACTGCAACCCCTTCATCTCTCACTGCAGGCATTTGGCGAGGCAGGTTCTCCCCCAGGAGCCAGATCACATAGGGTCCCTGCTCTCATTTCATATGTCTGCCCCAGTTTGCTGCAGAACCAGGTGGAACGTGAAGCCAACAGAATTACTTCCATAACTTCTCACCGGCATGACCTGGGGGTTTGCAATCTGCCTGGGAGGATTTTTCTTTCTAGCAGTTCAATTCTTCTCGTCTCGCTGGATTGCTCTTCTCGTTTTCAACTTTTTGTATGACTTCATTTCTACCCCCAGCTACTACCTCCTCAAAACTGCCCCCGAATGGCAAGATGCCATGCCTGAATGGCGAGGCGCATAGTTATACCTAAGCTGGTGGCAGGTCACCTCCTGTCTTTCTCAGTGATGGCCTCTATGGGACGTACTGGGATAGATAACTATATGCAAATGATGTACAAAAAATCCTGACAGCTGTTTGTCGCTATGGTGAAGGAAGCATGAAAGCAGAGTTACCCATTGGTTTTCCCATCTCCCCATGATGACAGCAGGTCCAAATGATCGAGCAGGGTTCATACTGGCACCAGTGTAATTAATCTAAAGCAGAGACAAAATATTACCTGTTATTAAAGTATTGAAGATAGTTATTTAGTTTCTGCTAGTCCTTGTACTATGGGGACACCCTGGTTTTGCATTGCTTCTAATCTTGACAGCAAGTATCGTCACTGTCCTGACGATATCACAAAATTAACGAAGTCATCACATAAACAGGCAGAAAACCTCTGATGCAACACCCTACCCATGGGGACCCTCCCAATACTCCAAAGGGTTTTGGCGTGGATCCGTAAAGAATACAGCAGCTACATAGCTATAGCAGCTATAAAGACCACAGAAGTTTCCATTTACTTCTGAAGTAGTCATAAAGGGACAAGGGGTCTATCTTTAAAAGAGAAGCCATTAACTTACAGCAAATAAATGTCCGATGGCAACAGAAAATCCAATTGCTAAAGCTACTGAACCAGTGACATCACTTCGTTTTGAATCACAGCTGGCAAAAATTGTAAAAACCAGCTGGAATGTAATTATCAGCTCCACCAGGAGTCCATGGCCAGCGGAAAGATCCCCATGTACCTGGAAGAAGGGAAAGAAACACCGGAGATGAAACAAAGGTGATTTTGTAAATCAGAAAGTCACCACATACATTAATTCTACTTCAGTGAGAGGTATTTCTAAACGGTATACAGTGAAAGATAACAATGAAATTTAGAAGTACAGGTTCCCTCCCACTTTCTCTTTTCTCCTTTCATTTTTTTATTTTGAGGGCCATGGAAAATTACTGCTGGACTGAGAACAGAAGGCTTAACAGTAACATCCAACAAGAACTTCAAAGTTAGACTGCAGAAGTGTAGTTTATTTTTACACAGGGATTTGCAAATGCTGCACTTCCCCTTCACCATTTTTTTCTTGGGAGCACTGTAATTTACTATTCAATTATAAATTCATTAATTAGCCCTGACTTAATTAATTTAAATTTCAATTAAAAATTAAGCAGTATGCGGCTCAAGTGCATTTTTAATAAGTCCTGCAACAGGGCTAACTGATGGTATTCCTTATTAGTTTGGAACAAAGCTAAAATCTAAGCCACAATCTATTTCAAAAGTATGTCATTTTAAATTGATGTTTTTTCAATCCCCATCATCACAATGGCATAGAATTAATTTCTCCCTCCCCAGCCCATATAAAAATGGCATTTCACGAATATATTATTTAAATTTTGAATGTAAATTAACATTACCTGCTGTCATCAGATTTGGGAAAGTTGTAGGAAAGGAGAGAACTTCTATATAAAGAAGAGCTATAGCCATTACGCTGCATAAACCCATCCTAAGGAGAGTTTTAAGCCCTGTCTAGGAGTTGTAAATAAACCAGCAAACTCTTAAAATCTCTGCTTGAGCTCTCTTTATTCTGCATGACACTGATTATATTTTCTTAGCCTCCAAGCTAGTCTAGTTCACGAGCTGGAGGAGAAGTGATTACCGCAGTGACTCCCAGGCCTCCCACCACGCTTGGCGGTGTGACGAGGTAAAGGATGCCTGCGCCCACGATGGCTCCCAGGCACTGGGCAAGGATGTAGAAGACGGACTTAGCGAGGCTGATCTTCCTTGTGCAGACCATTGCCACGGTCACAGCAGGGTTAATGTGGCCTCCGCTGATGTGTCCAAAGCACTGCACCATGGTTGCAATGCTGAGTCCAAAGCAGAGGGAGATAAGGACCATGTCTACAGGCAGGGGCTTCTCTGATCCACCCCAGTTGATGGTGGAGCCGAGGCTGAGGAGGACAAAAATGAGCATGGCCAAAAATTCTGCCGAAACGGCTTTCCAGAAGGGCTGAGTCCAGACTCCTTTAAACGCCACCATGATGCTCTCACACTTACACAGACGTCCACACTTACTGAAAAGGAAAACAAAGCTTCATCAGAAGTCACCACATGGGCTTTATGCTCTCCTGTCGGGGGGCTGCTATCCAGCAGACTTTGGAAAGAAGGTGGCAGTGCTGAGTGTCCCTGGGCTGGGACCACCACAGACACGCGCTGCCAGAGCAGACTGCCCTTAAAGCACCACCAGTGTTTGAGAGTCTGCAGGACACAAGGTGATTAATCACCCCCTGTGATGTCTGTCTATATAGCTTCAGTTCACAAAAAGCAACCTCTCTATATTTTTAAGTAAGCTAGTATGACAAAAGTGTATTCTTCTATACTCGCCGATCTCTGCCTTAGAGTCTGTAAAGCCCTAGCACTTCCAGTGGCCTGTTGACCACCATGCTCATTAAATCAGCATGTATCCTCTTTTGCTAAGCAAATCTGTACCTTTCACAAAGCAGGAATGATAGCTCAATAAAAAGCAGTAGCTTAGTCAAACCCTAATGGTTTTGATAACAGTGTAGCGTTGGGAGGTTGTCCTGGGAGCTATAAGAGAAAGTCCATTTGTTCGAACACTCACACAAACCAGTATTTCAATTTAAGTTTATGCAAAGAGCAGTTTCTTTACTGTGGACATAGGGCAAAAATTTAATTCAGCCAGAAGAATAGATGAAATCCTAAACTCTGACCTTTAAATCAATCATGCAATCAATAAAGTACTTTCTTTTGCGCTAAGGGTGCCAAGTAAGCTGTTGAATAGAACAATATTTTCTGTATGTGTGGTGTTTAAAACTCGGTGTGTCAAAGAAAGAAGTATCTTGATTTTTCCACTCTGTCTGGAGATGCTAGTTATTAGCCTACCCTGCTTTCTTGATGAGCTACAATTTTTCTAGATATTCAGATACCTATGAAAGTGGGTCACCAAAGAAAAAGTTATTTGTGGTATTAATAAATTAGGAGAATAAGCCAAAAGGGAAGCATTTTAATGAGTTTCTAAGGAATGCTAACAAGAATCTTCTCTAAAAACAAAAGCAAAAAATTCCCCAACCCCTCCAAAAAAGCAGAAAACAAAGGAAAGAATATTCATCTGCTACATTTGGGAACAGAATTTCAAGTGGAAGATGGATGAATTTATGCTCAGTTATCTAAGGTAACTGAGCTACAATGCATATTTAATACCACTTACATCAGAAAGAAGCATGAAAGGCATGTCTGGCCTTTTCAAGTTCTTGCAAGAGGAATGGCCCATGAATTTCTTAACAGTTGCAGAGGGTTAGGGAAAGGCAATTTAATCCTGTGACTGGAGCAAATAATTTGTTTCCCTGTCTCATTTCTTATGTTAATTTACTGTGTATTTTGGATAGGTCATTTGAACTTCATCTCAGTTCTCTAGCCTTTCAGATGAGAACAAGAATTACATTAGCTCCTGCAAATGCTGTTGCAAAGTGCTTGTGAAGTGATCTGAGAGACTTGATCGGGACCTGCTCTGCTAGAGAAGAATTGAAGCCAGAACCTCAAAAGAGAAGACAAGTCGTTGCCAAAGTCTTGTGGTTTTGGGTCAGACCTGAGACAAACTGCAAGCTGTTTTTGTAAGATCTCATATTAACAGTCAGTTAATGACCAACTATCTAGAGTAGAGTTTTTGTTCAAAATGGCTCCAAAATCATTGCCTCTCACGATGCTGAAGCTCTCAGGTATTTGGTCATCCTTATATTTGAACCCTATGCCCAGGTTCTCACCAAAACCTAATGGCTTACCTCTGACACCCTAATTATTTCCTCAGTAATAATTTATTTTAGTGGCCAGAGTAAGATACAGGTGCTATATTACCATACTGAGAAAAGCTTATTCTCCTAGGGCATGTCCCAGGTGAACAGCTGATGTAGGGATGAAGCATGTCCTGAAGCCCATGGAAAAGAAACCTGGATGCACAGACAAAGGAAGCGGCACTCATCTACCCTCTCACCCCCAGCTCAGTTGGGATGCAACCTGGGTTTCCCTGAGCTTTCGCTTGCTAAGCAGAATGAAAGCCCTGGTGTTATATTCCAGACTTAGGCAAAGTTTCCAACCACCAAGGGTGCTATGGGGGGAATGCAGGTTTTCTGGAGTGAGAGAGAGGGGTACGGTGACTCCTGACTTCTTTGTCCAAGTGTGCCTGGCCATCTCTTTCTGTATGCAGAGAATAATGAGACCTACAAATTAACCACATTCTTTCATCCTATAAAAGTGGACAAAAAAAGGGTGTTTGTCTTGGGTATTAAAACCATGCAGCTAGCTTCCTTCTAGCTGTGGAACGCCTTGGGAGAACACATTAGGAGTGAGTGTGCGCGCACGTGCACACACGTGTGCAAGAGAGAGACAGGGAGGATCGGGAGGATCACGCCTTCTACTGAACTGCTGATGGACCTGTCTGGAAGGGTGTTACTGCTTATGAAGGGCAGATCTCATACTGCTGCTCCAGCTGAGACTACGTCAAATCAATTCAGTCAATATTATTCACAGCCCTGAAAATGCAAAAATGCTGCATGCAAGCCAAAAGCATAACTCAAACACAGAAGCTTGCTCATCAGCCTGAAGAAAGTTTCTCTCCTTCTAAAACTGCATGCTACACAGAAAAAAATCAAAATGGTAGAACTGCACTGTCAGCCATACTTCGATAGTTAATGATCTAAACAACTATTTTTAATGCACACATGATTTTTCTGAAGTAGTCTGTTTTTCTATGATTTCAACACCCAGCAAAATGCCCAGCTGTCACGGTCAAATTTTTCTTTCAAACTGCACACCTTTCTTCCTCACAGCAAAAACCCCTAAAAATGTTAATAAAAGCTTAATGCTCTGTTTGAGCCCCGAGTCCAGCCTTAAATCCAGAGGCTATCAGCAACTTGGAAACGAACAACATCTACCGTTTTTTCAGCACACAGTTAGTTTAAAGGCTTGAGATGGGAAAGAGTGATGGCTGTGCCAGGTCTGAAACCAAAATGTGACTTTCCAGCAGCAAAGATTTGCCATCACAGTTGCAAAACAATTTTTTTTTTTGGAGGAGTTGCTGTTCATGGTTGCCTTAGAAAAATACAAAGTACAACAGAAAATCAGAAAGACACTTTGATGTTATGGTCACACATTAATTTCACGTGTAGCCACACTTGAAATTCCCCGGTCTGGACTACAAGATTACACAGGGGACTGTGTCTAACAGGATGCAAGGTGGGTTTTTACAGGTCGTGTTGCCACCAGGGCTGCAGGGACGATTATGGCTTCAAAGTGGTAATAATATAAATACTCACAAAGGCTTCGGTACAAAAGTAAAACCGGTAGTTTTAAAAATCCTTCCTTTTCTAACCAGTATCATTTCAAGGAGCAGAGCAAACAGCCTGGACGCGGGCTTGCAGCCAGCCACGCCAGACGACACCAGTGTCGCACCCAATTTTTGGGGGCGCGGCAGCTCTTTACCGGGGGGGGGGCGGATCTCTGCGGAAGAGCCGGACATAAGGCACCCCCTTGCCAAATGGGGGGGCGGGACACACACGGACACCCACCCACCCCCCCCCCCCCCCCCACGCTACCGTTGCCAAACAAACGCGCTATGGCAGGGTTTGCTTATCACCACCTCGCCGCATTTTCCGCGCCTGCCGGGGGTGAGGGGAGGTTTGGCAGCCCGGTACCGCAGCTTTGTGGCCGTGCGGGAGCTGGGCTGCTCCGCACACGCGTCTCCCCGTCGCAGGACCGCAAGTGGCGAATAAAACAAAGTTTGAGGGTGCCGGGAAAGGAGGGGGGTTGGCAACCCTCTGCCCCGCTTCGCACCTCCAGCGTTAAAACCCAAGGACGACCGAAAAAAAAGCTCCGGTAGTGCCTTCTCGGGTGGGGGAAGCCCGCTGCGGCGGGAGCCATCGTCCCACGCCGGGGAAAGCCAGCGCGCAGCCGGACAAATTGGGGTGGGGAGGGGGTGGGGGGGAGGTGGGGCGGGGAGGAATCCCCGCGGGCGCGTAGAAGGGGCGCCCCTCCCGCACCCGCGCACCCTCTTCCCCTCTTCCCCATCGAGCCGTCTCCGCTTTGGGTGGGCCGCCCCCTCCCCTTCCCTCGCCCTCGCTCCCTCCCTCCCTCCGCGCCCCGCGGAGGGCCGCGCACTCACCCGCGGCGCGGAGCGGCCGCGCCGTCGCTCATGCCTCCCCGGCGGGCGCGGAGCGGCGGCGGCGGCGGCGACGCGACGGGGCGGGCGGGGGGCGGGGGGGGGGGCGGCGCGGGTCCCCACCGCCTGCTGCTGCGGCCCGGGCCCGGGGGGGGGGAGCTGGAAACACTGCCGGCCCAGCGCCGGCCGCGGGTCGTTCGCGACCGTCTGAATATCCAGATTAATTCGGGGTGCGTCGCGGCTGCCCCTTAAAAGCGGCAGCCGGGGCCGCGGAGAAAGCGCTGCGCAGCCTCGGGAAGGGCGCAGGGGGCTGCTCCGCTCCTCTGCCGCGCACTGGGTGCGGAGCGGGGGCGGGGGGGGAGAAGTCGAAGCAGCTCTGCAGCCAGGCAGCTTTATTCATCTAAAATATTTGCCTGTTATGTTAGTACCTGACGAGGACTCTACTGGTTACACAAGAGGCAAAGCGGTTTTGTTCGGTGGAACTCGCTAAATTCAACAAAGTTTGGCCCAGTGGGGAAAGCCAGTGGAGGCCACTGAAAAGGACGGTTGAAATTAGGTCATGATGCTGTTGAGGAAATTCAGACAGTCCCCACCTTGAGAAGAAGCCAGTAACTCCACACCATGAAAATAATCCAGTGAAAAAATGTGATATAACAAAAACACAAAGTTGACTAAGTTTCCAGGTACAATTATTTCATTAGAGAATGCATAGAAACTAGCTTGAAGAGGACAGGGCTGAAAATGGAACAAAATATCCATAAAATCCTTTTTTTTTTAAATTTTTTTTATTTTTTTTCCCAGCGGTTTAGGCCTTTGCATGCAGTAAAAGAGTCTGTGCGTAGGTTACGCACAAAACATTTTAAGAGCCATGTTCAAGTGTTAAACAAGGTTAAGCCTGCATCC